ATGCTACATGTTGCGTCCGTTGCACACCCGATTGCATGTTGTTGCTCCGTTTGCACACCAATGTCACCTCCAACAATGTTGAGAGTTGTTGTTGCGTCTGTTTGCAGGTAGCTTTTATAAGGCTTGTTTTTGTTGTAAATTTTTAATTAGGGTTGATGATATAAAGTGTTTTATAAACATTTTTTGGAAAAATAATTGTGCGTGTCTTGCTAGTGAAGACAATTTATTATTATTTTTTTTTTTTCACTCACGACATAAAATTATGTTGACGAATGTTTGCTGGCTTCTACCCTATGCGACGTCAATGCTCAGTATTCGAATACGCATAGGTCTTATAGCTGCAGAATGATGCATAGGTAGTTATTATAGAAAAGGAAACACTTTCAAAGGTTTGTAAAGGTGGTAGACCAGCTTTTGCAGTGAAATTTTAAGTTTTAAGTCAAAAAGGTCATTGGTAAGCTTTACGAATATTCACCTGGCCTCGGTGCTGTACAGATTACAAATTATGGTCCTAAACTGAGGATTGATCCTTGATGCAATCGTAAAAGACCCTCCACACCCATGTTCACTAATTCGTTTCAGGGGTATCCGACGATATCTAATATGGATTTATGAATGAAACAATTTCATTTCTAAATTTTCATCTTATTGAAAACCATTGTATGAACTTCCTTGGAAAGCTCCACCTAAAAGGGCGTGACATACGGGTATTTTGATGGGAGGAAATGCATCTTATCCACCCTCTCTGAAAAGACAACATCGGTCGTGTTAGAGGCGCGCCTATGCTTCTTTTTAAAAGGAAAATGGTTCGACGTTATGAAGAACAACATCAGCAGTATGACGTCATTCAAATGGTATACTGAATTTGTTACGAAAAATGCGGGATAAGGTCTGTTAACGGCATATTTGCCGTCTCAGTGAATATAGCGTTGTCAATGTTTATTTCGGTTAACATTTTTTTTTTGTGTTTCGCCGCCATAATATTTTCAGACATAAATGAGTGCACTGCAGGAACTCCCATATAGCTGTGACGTCAATGCTATTTGTCAAAATACCGTGGGCTCACACACGTGTTCATATAAGGCTGGCTATGAGGGAAATGGGAAACAATGTTGCAGTAAGAACGGTTTCAAAGAAATACAGAAATAAGACTAGTGACCATGCATGTTGAAATTCACACCACTGTTTTTCAGTAGTGTGGGCTCAAAATTACCCAGTTCCCATCCCACCAAAGTGCATGTGATGATAGTGAAGACTATTCAGACAAGCCTGCGAGTAAGCTCTCCATTCTAAATTGGGAGCGAAGAGAGCCCTGCAAGAACGCAAGAGCAAGCGGCTATGGGCAGGAGAAAGGAGAGAAATGTGGAATTGTTTCGCTATTTTTGTTGTTGTTGTTGTTGTCTTATTTCCAGCCCCCCTTTTTTTTTTTTGACTCCGCTGCGCTGTTTCCTCTCTAGCAGAGCGCTTTTTATGTTAGGTGACCCGCGATCATGACCAACTGCAAAGACGGGCTCATTGAACCAACAAACTGTTATGCAAGTCCAGCTCTAGTCCTTTCTCTCTGACGTACTGTACAACAACAACAACACCTTTATTTGTACCCTACATTGATTTACAATTGATACAAAAAAATAGCTAAAATATGGTCAAAAAGAGACTACAGGCTGCCCAAAATAACCATTGAGGGCTAAAAAGATAGGGCAGCCTTACTTAGGTTAATAATAAATGATTATGTTAAAGGGTTAGGAACCATCGTCGGACACGTCCGCCATCTTTCCTGACCGTTGGCCTCTCCAGTGTACGAGCAAAAACTCATTCTCTCTTGGTACGAGTCATCCAGAAGTGAACTTTAAGTCATTCAAATCAGCATGTCAACACCGCAAGGGCTTTCCGTGAGCAACTCGAGTTTTTTTTTTTTCCTTTTAGTTTGTTTCTTCTTTTTATTATTATTATTATTATTATTATTTTTATTTATTTTTTTTTTATTAAAACCATAGTACCGACACGTATTTGCTCGACTGCACTGTCAACGTAAAATATTGTGAAATTTACTATGAATGCCTAAACGGCAATATATTTAAAGAGTGTGACTGTACAAATATCCGCGTACGGAATTGTATATCTGCAAAACAGAATTTTTTGGTAAAAAGCTCATTTCAATTCTTTTGGGGGGAGGTGAAAACAGGATCTCTAATTCCATTTACAAAACGGACCGGGAAACAAGGATCGTAAAATGTCAATTATTGGCCTTTCATTTCTTTGTAGAACTAGAAAATTCCGATTAGCATACAACTCGTTCGATCACGTACCATGATGATGAGTAACTTAGTTAATTTAGTCTTAAAGATTGATTCATTCATCCATTTACTTTTTTTCAAAAACTTAATATGGCAAGCGATTTCACTTTCAATATTTTTTCAAAACAGCAACCACAAACATTAGTATTTTGGTAGATTTGCCAGAATAACAATCTCAAAATGTCAAACAAGTTAAACATGAGATGATCCACTTACTTGCGGCTTAGCTGAGCCCGCCCTCCTTGTTTGATACTTTCTGAAGCAGTTAATTAGAACTTATAATTATATTTGAACAAGGACCCGTTTGCAAGAGTGAATATTTACTCTTCTTAAAATTTTGAGGCAGCAGCTGAATCAAACTATTAACACTCGATATTGAGTTGCACAAAGTGAACTGCAAGCTTGCTAAATAGTAGTTTGGTTCAGGTTTCAAATAACATTTTTTAGAATCGTCAGTCACGATTAGTTTGAAGAGAGAAGGGGAAATAACCTGCAAAAACGTTGCGCTATCAAAACCCTTTCAAACAGTAAAGTCACCAACTGCGTAAAAGGAGGCTAGTTTTGGCCACATCCTTAGCAAGAGAGATTCTTTAAGGTGCATGCTGCCTTAAAAACACGAGGTAAGTGATATCCAAAAATCACTAAGGTAGACTATAATTATATCCAAATATTCCGCTACCCTCTGAGAATATTTTTCATGAACTAAACTATTTATGCTTGTATACCTAGTTTGAGAGTAAACCAAACTGTTTAATGACGACAGCTATCAATTTGGTTTTCTAAATCGCAGAACCCAAAATGTTAACGCTGAGTACATCCACCGACACCCTCCAGTTAAGAACAAAAAAGGTTATATGTGAACATGAGGTTCATGAAACGAAAATTGCCAAAATATATAAACCTAATTATATTTCTTTGAAATGGCTAATTCATGAGGTAGGGGTGACATGGGTCGTGTCCAGCTAAAGACCTCGAACTTTTTAATTTGTAATTTTTTGAATGGCAATACTAAAAGGGATATTGCACGAAGTTAACGCTGAAATTCTCAGTTAGCTAATTTTCAAACCGTTTTTCCACTTTTTTTTTGCTTAACTTTTTAAGACTGCAAAACGATGCAACAAACGAAAGGGGAAATTCAATCTACAAGTGTAGAAGCGTTAATGACTTGCAGTAGTAACTTTTAGAGAAAAGGTTTTGAATAATTGATGCTGCAGGCATTAACAAACTAAAGAACGCCAAAACAGAAAGACTTGAAGAAATTCTACGTGGCTTCATAAAATAAGTGGCCACTACAATTGTTCCAAAGGGTGAGGTCGATGACGCCAGAATTCGCCCAGCAATCCAGTTTGTAAAATCAACTAATTCCCTGGTTAATTCATAAAATCAATCTTTAAGGAAGGCTTGATTTGATACATAACCTCTCTAGAAAATTCGGCTTAAATAGTAAGGTAGTGCAAAAACTCTGAAATAACTGAGGAGCGGGCACAAAAGTTAGAAACTACGAAATTGATGAAAAAAACCATGTGGAATTCCCTCTAAAAAAAAAGTCTCATTTGTATTGTCTACACCTTGGATTTCAGCTGATTTCACTAGCACCGCCTCCAAACGTTAGACCTGCATATTAAAGTAAATAGCAACCAAGTGAAAGTATTGTTAGAAGAGGCTTCATAAATTTGTCTGATCTGGAAAACCAGGAAATAAGGACGAAGTTAGCAGTAATGGTCAAACAAGCTTGCATAACTGAAATAAAAGGAATCGCATAAATCTGTGTTCATGTCTTCCTTTGGACCAAAAGCGCAAAAATCATCATCAAAGGGAAAATGGCTACTGACAATACTCGTCAAATTTGTTGAAACACTTGTCACGTTTAGCCCTCCCCCATGTCAATTCACTTATCACTCATTTGCAAATATATGCCAGTCACAAAGCATTGGGAAAGGAGAGAACAAGTACAAACGGAAAAAAGTTGGGTAAGTTGGTTGAGAAGGAGTGAGTTGAAAAAGACCCCAGTTTCAGTCTAGTGTGCAACGAAATTTTACGAGTATTGTTAAACAATGAGATTCCATATTGCCGTGGGTCTGTTCAATAATAGATCACAGATGACGTCAAAATGTGGTTAAAACAAAGAAGTGGCGCAGAGCCGCAGGCGAGTGTGTCACTGATGTTTTTAGGCATTCTTAAGTTGTGAAGAGCTCTTTCTCTCCGTTTCTCCATTTTTATTCTTTGCAAATAGCTCTTGCTAACTTGTTTTTCGAGACTTTCACTTGCTTTAATCCGAAATGATGTCACAAACATTTTCAAAACCGCTCTCTATGTTGAACAGAACTAAAAAGAAAACAAGTTTCCGTGACGCCATCCATGTATGTGTACTCCAATGGATCATAGGCAACGACCAATCACAGCGCGCGTAGCATTCACATCACTGTATAATGTGCGTTGCTATCGTTACCTTAGTCCTGGTATCATCTACATATTACCATGGCATGACTGGGAATTTAAGGTATCGCTAAAATTTAAATCATTTATTAACACAAGGGAAAGCCACGGCCCCAGCTTTGTCCTTAGGTTACTTAAAATAAGTCTTACTAAGTTATTGTCATCGGTCAGATGAACCATCCCTACTATAATTAATTACTTTCCGAGAATATAGTTTCTACTAGTATGACTTTTTGTATACATGACATTTTTTTCAGTTCTGTCAAAATGACGGCGAGTTACACCATTAGTATCGCATTCCTTTTTATGCTGATTCATATATTCATTGAAACAATCTGTCAACAATGCATCAATGGTGGGTCAGAGGAATCCATCTTGGGTTGGAAGCTGCAAAATCACGTCTACAAGACGCTAAAGGCAAACTTTGGATATGAGTGCGTACTTATTTGTCGTCAGGACAGCAGGTGCCAAAGTTTCAATTGGGTGATCTCTCTTGACATGTGTGAGTTCAGCGACAGAACCAAAGAAGCCAGACCTAAGGATTTTGTTCCCGATCCAGACAGATATTACTACAGGCGAGACATGAATCGAGGTGAAGTTTATGTTATTAAGATCATTCTCTCAGTATTGACAGAAGTTTTAAAGGACCCCAGTGCAATTTTCGTGGCGTCATACCCGGAGACATCTAAATTTCAGTCATCATTTCCAAGGAATATTTACGGCGTTAATTTGTTAGAAAAATTGACAAATTAACTGATCAATATAAAACAGACAACAAAAAGGCTGTGCGTTTTAAGAAAGAGGTACTATGTAAGCGCAAACTTTCATGTCCAGCCATAAAATAACTTGAAAATGACAACATTTTGCGCGATTGAGACCTTTGTAACGAAAATTAATTATCGGCATCCCTATTATTGGGTGTTTCTTCAGTGCCGCGGAAACCATTCTTGGTTCGCTTCTGTGGTTAGTGTCTAATCATTCGTTTGTATAGTATTACGTCACTAAGTGATTGCACCAATCCGCAACGCCAAGAAACCACCTTATTTGGCAGGTTATTCTAAAAGAAAAATTTGTGTGTTTACTTTTAGTCTTGCCGGGAAAAGCTTTATTAAAACTTCTCCTCAATGTTTGTAGTTTTATATTTTGTTAAAAATCGGTGCCGCTGCTGCTGTCCCGCGATAAGATACTCCGGCCAGTCGTCTACTTCGTCTCTCACATTATGATCATTCATGGTTTTAATAGCGGAGCACTATGCGTATGAAAAAATTGTAAATCTTAATTAATGTTTACATTGACGTGGATAACAGAGAAAGTGCTAAAAATGAAAAACAAAGAAGACGAATTTCGTTGAAAGGACAACATGAACATTATGTAGTGCGGTGAGAAGATGAGAAATGCTAGCGACCTGAGTAAGGTGAAAATGAGCAGCAGTGAAGAAAAAAGAAAATTAAGCAAAAAATTATTTGTGAACACATACGAAATTTCCTCCATGAAACGTGTAACTAGGAAGGTTCAACAACGGCAAAAATGTAGAAGCAAGTATACTGCACGTGCAAAGTCGTTGCCGTCGCCGTTGCATTGTATTTTGATAAATGCAGTCTACTTTCTTTTGTTTAAACGCAATAACATTTCACAAATTTGACATTTTAATAGTTTATGTGAGAATGACTCAAGAGGTTTGCTTGTAGATTATTTTTCCCGTAAATCAGCTAGTCCTTCCACTGTATCAAATGTTAAGCACAGAATTGAAAAGTTTCTTCACAGTGGTTTCAAGTTTTTTTTTTTTTTTCCGTTTGAGTAAATTATAAGTTTCTCTCTACGAGAGCTTCGTTTTTGCCTTGCCTAAATCTATATATTAGAGTTATATTACCTCTCAAGCCCTAAGAACAAGTTCAGTTCCCTCGAACGGACCAGTTTCTTCATTCCATGGTCCTCTACAGTAGATAGCCGACAATTTTCGTGCATCGAGGCGAGTAGATGTGGCCTAACTTAAACAGTGCTCCAGTACAACTTGTCGCTAATTATTGATTATTTTCAACATCGTTTGTGCATGTATATTAAGGGCACTATAGAATTCCTTGAAGGAACTTCACCAAACGTGCATGTTATTGATGTCTCAAAGTTTCTAGCAATGATCATCGATTCGATGCTGACAATTTAATTTCAGAATAACCATTAGATAATTAATGGAACATTTTACTCTTTAGTTCCCCTTGGATCCACTCCTGAGCTTCCAGCTGAAACATGTAAAGAAATCAAAGCAAGTGAAGGGGAGGCAGAGAGCAAGAAGTACTGGCTGAGTACCATTAAACCTGGTATTCCTTTGCTCGCTTATTGCGATATGAAGACTGAAGGTAAATATAATTGTACAGCCTACGAAATGATAAATCGACTCCGAAATGATACCCAATTTTTTTTTTGCTTCTACCCCGAATTAATTAATTATATCTTGACTATCATTAATTCATTTGGGGATTGTATTTTCTTATTTTATTTCTTATTTATTTATTTATTTATTTATTTATTTATTTATTTATTTGTTTGTTTATTTATTTAAGTAACATGTCATTTTGGTCCTTGAGTAAGGCGGTTTCCATATTATAACCCTAGCGGTAACCGGCAAAAGTGGATAGAGGCCAAAATTCATCATGTGGTTCTGTTTTTCATCAAACACATCCCGCTCAGTCAGTTTTTATACAATTGAAGGTTGCTGACAGGTCAAGTAGTATAGGTTGCAGAATTCAGCACTTAAGCCAACGCTTGACAAATCCTTTCTTCCTTTTGTCCAAGAACAGGCTAGACCAGACGCAATTGACAGGTTGATGCCTGATACAGGTAGTAACAGGCAACTGCACATCCAGGGACCTGGCCAATAATGATTTTGACATTGAGTCGAGAGTGCAAGATTTTTTGTTAGATTTCTGAAGAACGTACACATATTCTTCCGTAAAGGAGCTGGAAGTTACTAACCAGGGCCCGGTTGCATAAAACGTCCGTAACAACTACGGGTACACGTACGTGCACTCGTAACTTAAGTCAGTTGCATGAAATCACTTAAGTGGTCCACTTAGGGAATTCACTTAAGTGGTTGCACTTACGATTTTCGTAAGTGTTCACTTAAGTGTCGTTTATGCAATAGAAATTGCGGGTGTTGCATAAAACTTTTTTTACGGGAAAAATAGCACGTAAATTTACGGGACCTATGTAGGTCCCGTATCGTTACTGTTTTTACTAAATTTAACGAGATCTTTTACTGAGAAGTGAAAAAAAGTATTTTTCTTCACGTAATTCGTTCTAATGCGCTTTGTTAACCTCTGATGTACACTTTTGTGAAAAAAGAAGAAGAACTGTCATTTTCAGTAGATATTGAAGAAAAATAACGTTTGCATGCAAATTTCATTATTTGAGAGGCTTAAAAGTGTTCGAAACGACTTTTAACTTCCTTTACACTCACCGATGGTTATCTTAAAAAAAAAGAGTGAATCATTAATAAAGTACTTTATCAAGGTTACGTGTCCCCTTAAGTGAGCCCGTAAGTTACCACGTAAAACAGAAACTTACGAGAGTGCTACGTGTGTTCCATGCAACACCCGTAAGTGTACCCATGACGGATTCGTAAGTGACCTACTTAAGTGAGCACTTAAGTGCAGGTTTTATGCAACCGGGCCCAGTTGCGTGTTATCAAGACCTGTGAATATCAACCAGCATTAGATCATCCGGGAGTGCATCACAGGCGATTTGACTGAGGTGTCAATGCCTGCGTCAATGTCAGTCACAACAAATCTATTGAATCTTTCTCACACAGAACTGCCAGTATCAGTGCCAACTTATCAGGGCAACTCATTTGTCTTTACTCATATCTTTGTCTCCTTACCCTATGCATGCAACTATTTCTTCTTGTATCTCTCTCTTTTTTTTCTCTTTTATGGTCCTTTATAACCCAGTTGTCTCTGTAATGTTAACTCAACAGGGGCACCCAACGACGGTTTCCTGAGCTAAAGACACTGAAAATGCTTTTTAGGCTGTCCAGAGTACTTTTAGATCTCTAGAAATGCATTCTAAGCGGCGCTATAAAATTTGTACTTGTTCGGTCATCCTAGGGAAACTTGAGGCTTTTCGAATTACAAGAGCTTTAGTTTCTTCAGTGATTATAATTTACCGAAAATTTTAGATGCAATGTAATATAGCGAGTACGAAAGTGAGATTTTTTTCTGATTCCTCTCTCCATCGTATTATTGAATCCGAGAATTTCAGGTTTTACCTTTGTCTACAAAAATAGCCTAACCTGGGGACGTGAAATGTGAAAAATTGAACTTAAGAAAGTCGTAGGGAATTTATTAGATAAGCGTCGAAAATTGTATGTGAATGAAACGGTCTACTAGGAATTGTTAGCCGCCCTCAAGCTATAGAACATTCTAGGCAATATTTGCTTCCCCGAACAGATATTTTACGGAAAACAGTCGTTAGTGCCCCTGACTCAATGTTTGTTTATTAACACGTGATAAAGTGTTTTAAAAAGTTTTAGGCAAACTTGTGCGTGCGTTGCTAGTGAAGACAGGTTTTAATCAAAATTCTCTTTTTTTTACTCAGATATCAACGAATGTACTGCCTCTTCTCCGCTATGTGACGTCAATGCTCAATGCTCGAATACTCGTGGTTCTTATACCTGCAGATGCAAAGTTGGTTTTTCTGGAAACGGAAAAACTTGCAAAGGTTTGTGAAGGCTTGTGTGGTAGAGAATCTTGAGCCATACTTTGCACAATTTTACCTTGCGGTAAAGTATTTATTTTCGTTGAAATGATCGTTGATGCTGACAATCAACATACTTGCAATGTCCTTTCGCATGCGAAAAAATGCTAACCATGAAGGTGAAATAATGGCGTTGTCAATTTTCACTGTGTTTGAACATACTCTTATTCATCATCAAATGTTTATTTTCAGACATAAATGAGTGCACTACGAACTCTCATAGCTGTGACGTCAACGCTGTTTGTCAAAATACTGCGGGCTCACACACCTGTTCGTGTAAGGCAGGATATACAGGGGATGGAAAAACATGTGATGGTAAGTTACTAGAAAAATGAAAGAGAAAATACCAGTTAAAAGTCTTAACTTAACCAAGTAGTTTTTGGCTCCTTCCTTCTATAAAACATATCAGACGGTGTGGGATACTTCGACGAGAAGATCACACTCGGCACAAATTACTAGTCCACGCGTCGTTCGTAAATCCTGTTTAATCCACCGTTCCCTTTCGCCGTCCCTTCCCGAGCAAATACAAATTCATCGACGATACTCGATACTTGAAAAAACTTGTTCATGCAACCGCATCAAACTGAAATATCAAGCTACAAGGAAGAAAATAGAATCCACGCGAAAACATCGACGCTTAGGCTCTAAATTTTGTGACCGACTACATTACAACTATGTCACGTGCTCAAAAACAAATAAAATACATTAACATAATTAAAATTCGCGGCAAAAAGACACGACTGAACGGAACTTACAGATAGATGAAAAACTAACGTGAAATATTATCGCACGTTTTCAGATGTGGACGAGTGTTCTAGCAACGCTCACAGCTGTGATGTCAACGCAGTGTGTACAAATACCCAAGGATCATATTCCTGTGCATGCAAAGCTAAATATACAGGTAATGGTACAACATGTGTACTTGGTAAGAACTTACTCTATATTTAATACATAGGCTGCCTGATTTACCAAACTTCTAACAAATGCAAAGGTGAGTTTATATAAAAATTCAGCAACTAGTACTTATTGAAATAACACCGTCTACTTTAAAATATGAACAATTGGGGCTGTAATTTGTGCAGAAAATATACTCAAGGAGATGGATAATAAATAATAATTTCACCCGGGGTCCATGGATAGGAGAACGTACAGTAGTATTTCGCATAAAAGCGTGTAAGTGTGAGTGATAATTGATTATTTTACTAATATTCAATGAATCTTCTTCTTTTTCAGTATCTTTCAATGCCGTTTTACGAACCTCGGTGCAAGCGGAAGACTGGGTCCAACTTCTCTTGGTAGTCACTACAGTGGTCAGGATCATGACGGTCAAGTTACATTGCTCAGCGGTATTCAACGTTGGACCGTGCCTTGCACAGGCAACTACAGAATAGAGGCAATAGGAGCTGCAGGGGGATATGGCATAAGAAGCAATGACCAGTATCGCGGCAGAGGTGCCAGATTAAGAGGAACTTTTCGCTTATCCAATGGAGAAACAATTAAGATACTCGTTGGTCAACAGGGAAGTGTTACCCTTAATGCGTCAAGCTCAGGAGGTGGAGGAGGTACGTTTGTAGTGAGAGGAAGCAACACGACTTTGATAGTAGCTGGAGGAGGTGGTGGCTTAGAAACTGCTACATCAAGACATTTAGGATGCGATGCTTCCACAAGCACAGCAGGGAATGCTGGGTACAGGTCATGGCCAGGAGGGAGCGGTGGAAGAGGAGCAACGACCGCTGACAGTGATAACTCAGGTAAGCTAAGTGTGTGAAAAGTTAAGTTATGCCACCCCGACAGTGGCTATCTATGCTAACCTTCGAATCTAACTTCATCAAACTTACGTTACAAACGTTTAAAAACGTTTACCTTAGCCTTTAAAGGTCTTTTAAGCTTGGGCGCTCTGTCACTTTCACAGTTTCGCGTTATACCGCGCAATTAAATGTTTTTAGGAGGTAAAATGATAATTTACACCAATCGCAGTGATTAATAGTTCAGTAGAGACCTTCAATTGCTAAAAATGTTCCAATTTGAAAAAGTCGATAGTTTTCAACCGAAAACTGTAGTAAGCCACCTTAAAGGTTGTTGACTTTGGCAAACTGTAAGGTGGCTCTTTCTAGTTGCTTCGCGTGGGGTGCCCATCGAGCCCGAGCCCATCTCACTTTGTACGCGCGAGAGAAACAAAGCAAATATGGCGGCGCCCATCTATATTTTCGTGTAAGTTTGCTTTTGTTCAAGATTTACTCAACAGTAAGCTTTGTTTAAGATAACATTAGTTTTTTTTATCAGACAATATATACTGTAAAATCTTTGCTTAAACGCATATTTTCAAGAGTGAAAAAACCTAAGCTCAATGCGTAAATTTCAAAAGGAATACTCGCATGTGAACTGTGATTGATCTTGACAGGGGTTGGAAAAGCAAGGACTCGCCCTAACTACTAGCAAAACTTAAAAAACAAGAAGCCAGAGTTCTACCTCAGTCAACCATAGTTTATTTTCTTGGCTATATAGTGTATCTTCAATCATGTTTTACTCCACGGCTACTCTGTAGCGCTCTTACGAGAGTGACGAAAACTGACTTGGAAAAAGTTAAGCCGACATGAGTCTCCTTCAAATAAT